ACTAATGTTCAAGTTACAATCAAAATCTTAGCTAAAACTCAGCCTAACTAGGTTTTGACAATGTGGTCTCAAAACCAATCATTAGAATGGCTCTCAAAACCAATCATTAGAATAGTAAAAAAGCTTTTAAAAAAGATAAAGATATGTACCTTCTACCTAAGCAAGAAGAAAAAAATAGAAAAGAAATTAAATTACAATAAAAAAGTTAAGTTTGAATTTAGATAAAGAATCAAATTTAAATGTAAGAACATGGACTTCATTAGAGGAAGCAGATAAAACAGTTTGCAATATTGAAGAGCCATTAAAATTAAAAGTGCTCTTCGCTCAACTCAATTTTATCGCATAATCTTAGGTGTTGAATGTGACAAAAAAAATTCATTGAAAAAAAAAGTTTGAAGGAAGCAAGTCTTTGGGAGAATTATATAAAAAATGGGGATAATTAAATAAAATATATAAAATTTTGGGAAAATTATATATATAAAAAAGCAAATCTTTGAGAAAATTATATAAAAGTCTTCATATTTTAATTCAAAACTAAGTAAATAATCTTTAAGTAATGCGAGTAACAGTATAAAGTATGATGTGTGAAGCAGCTGTTGAATTCATAAAAAAAAAATTTATCGAGAAAATTCAAGATGCAAACTAAAAATAATACTTGATCTACAAAAATATGCAATGTTTATCAAAATTTATTTGTAACTCATTTGATTTTGTTGGTAAATTTATTCAGCATTGTGTTAGGGAGGAAAATTCTTTTGAAGTATCTTGGAAGCATGCACAAGTTGTACAAATAGATCATATAAATGGGAAACGATCCTCATACTATGTTAAGATAATGAGCCTAATAAACTGTGGTCTTTTTATTAATTAGTTGATTTTTAAAAAGGCAACCTTATTATTTTTAGTTAAGATTGTATGGTATTACTTAAGACAAGTTTTTTTATTATGGAATAATTAACGTTGTGTCTGCCGCAACGGTACCGTTGCTTTAATTTTTTATCTTAAAGTCATTGTAGTAAAGTTTGATTGGTCTATTTTAAACCACAGCTGTGAATATTATTGGTTGATTTTGAATATTTTATTTGTTCAAATTTAAAAAGAATTGCAGCTTGACATCGAGTCCTTCACTTAGAAAAATCTTTTTAATGTTTTTTAACTATTTTTATTGAAAGTTATTATTATTGCTGTATTTTAAAAGTTACATTGATTTTAATTATTTACATAATCGACTGATATAGGGATAGGCGCAGTGAGTTTAGGGGAGAGTTGCCATAATTGGAACAGCACCTTAATTAGAACACTTGCATTTATTTTTCAAAAAATATGAATTATGGCTTTTTATTACATTTTTTTTAGTAAAATGCCTTATTTTCTACGTTTTGACGAATTTTGATTGTCATTCCTCAAAAAAATGCATTTGCACCGTTGATTTAAAGTTTTTTTGCGTCATTTGTTTCAGTGATCTAATTTTGTGTTCTCGCTATATTGATTGCGCTGGATAAACTATACTACCATAGGTTATACGGTTTTTTGTGTTTAGTTTGATGGGATTTAAAATGCAAAATGACAATATAAACTTATCTTATAAATTGCTGCAAGCTTGATACTGCAATGATATAACAAAATAGTCTAAATTTTGTTGATTAGAACTATAGCTTTTTCCTAGTCTTAATCTTAATCAGTGATTTTATCACTGATTAAGATTCCTAACTTAATCAGATTAAGTTTCCTAACTTAATCAGTGATAAAATCACTGATTAAGTTAGGAAAAAGGGTTGTAGGAATAGTTTAAGCGCAATTTAAAATGTTTATAAACGATCATGAACCTTAAAAATAATACTTTATTTAGTGATTTTTAATCAACAAGTTAACAGAACGTCATGATAGTTGAAGCTTTAACACAATTTTTGTTTCTAGACTTTCAGTTTGTCCGGGTAATATTAATCCTATTATAAATTTTTAATGAACTTTTTTATTTTTACTGTAAAGATAAAAATCATTTTAAATCAATTTTTTTTTGATTTTACTGTTTTTTTATTTAAAAAAACAACTGCTTTGATTAAGGAATCAAAGTGTTCCGATTTGGGGAAACAGTTCCCTTACAAAAAAACCCAGCGAACTTCCAGTGAAAAAATGTTCCAAAACCCAGCGAACTTCCAGTGATCTTTTCCAGTGATCTCTAAAGTTCACTGGAAATTTCCAGCGAACTTGTTCCAAAACCCAGCGAACTTCCAGCGAACTTTTCCAGTGATCTTTAAAGATCACTGGAAGTTCGCTGGAAATTTCCAGCGAACTTGTTCCAAAACCCAGCGAACTTCCAGTGAACTTTTCTAGCGAATTTTCATGTTTATGTATAAAAATAGATTCGCTGGAAGTTTTTTTAAAAAAGATTTTTTATTTTTGCTATAAAAGTTTATAAACATTTTAAAATTTTTTAACCAATAAACGCGAAATAAGAGAAGTTAAGCGCGATAAAAAAGTAATATATTTATTTTAAAATATCGAGTTTTATAAATTAAAATACAATGTAGGATTAGATTATCTTAGGTATAATTACAAATTCTCAGAAATAAACTTCAATACAGAATACAATTTTTAACAAGAAACTAAAAAGTTAATTTATTAATTAATGTAAAACATATTTTTTTATAGGCATAAGTAAACTTTATATTACGCATGTTTCTATATTTAAAAAGTTTTTTCTCGTTAGCGTTCTCATACGACAAATTATCACAACGAAACAAAAAGAATTAAGAAATTCGTCAATTCATCTTTTGAAAACCACTTTAGGCATTCTTTTCGGTTTGGGTCTTTAGAGCTAAAAAAAAAAAGAAAAAAAAAAAAAGAATGCATACAATAAATAAAGAACATATATATATATATATATATATATATATATATATATATATATATATATATATATATATATATATATATATATATATATATATATATATATATATATATATATATATATATATATATATATATATATATATATATATATATATATATATATATATTTAAACAATATTCAAAATGTATTCTACAAAATAGAGTGCTCAATGTTCTTAAAAGAACAGAGCAATTATAAATAAGTAGAAAATTACTTAACAAAAATTTTTTTTCATTTTACACTGTTACATCGAAAACTTTTAAAAAATTTTCTATTAAGTGACTTTCTACTACGATATATATATATATATATATATATATATATATATATATATATATATATATATATATATATATATATATATATATATATATATATTCTGGTAAATAAATTTAAAAACTGAAGACAATACAGAGAAAAAATTAATGGACGAATAAACTTGCTACAAATCAATTAAAAATTTTATTACAAATTATGACAAAATAAACCTCCTAATATTAAAATAACAATAATAATGTAGTAAGTTAGTTAGATAAATTTATATTTAGGATTTTCCCATTTAATATGAAGTGCTTCTTTTATTTTTAATTTGTTAATGGTAGAGGCAGTATCCAAAATCTAAAAGCAATCAAAATTAGTTAGTGTTTTACAAACACTAACTAATAATTATATAAAACATAATATTCAAAATAAGACAAAATGTGAAATGATAAGCAAAAATAAAACAGTATAAGATAGATAAAAACATGCCAACATATTTTCGCGCAATTAGAATCAATCATTTTTTATTAATTTATCAATTTCCAACCAATAGCATTTTATCACTTTTATCCTGCATAAAAATAATAATTATAGATAAAATAATAAAAACTTAATTATATATATATATATATATATATATATATATATATATATATATATATATATATATATATATATATATATTTTAATTTAAAAACCCAGCAAACTTTCACTGGAAGTTTTCTGGTTTTTTTTTGTAAGGAACTTTACAATTTTTAAACTAATTTTTTTTTAAATTTTCAACTGTTTAAATCAACAAAACAAAAAATCATACAGCTCTACTTTTCTGTACTGATATAGATATTTAAATCTGCAAAAAACATAATAGTCATTATAAAGCAAAACTTAAACCTATATATTAGTGAAAAAAAAAAATATTGCAGTAAGTATATCTTATAGGCAATATGATGCTTAAGCATGTTTTTTAGCCCATTTCAAAAAAGTCGAGAACCAAATGGCAGTAGTTACATTTTTTATTCCGAATAAGTGTACTTTGTTTACTTTCTCTGATAACTTATATCATCTAATTCAAATTGTATTTATTAGGATATTTTAGTATAATTTTAGATGGAAAAATTATGAAGTCAGTGGTCTGTTGGTTCTCTACTGACAAATTAGCATAACAAAACAAACAGAATTGCGAAAATTGACTTTAAAAGTATTTTCGTTTGGGTCTTTAAAGCTAAAAAAAAAAAGATGGTTTATACAATATTTAAAGGACATCAATAACAATTTTATAAAAACATATAATAAATACTGTATAAAGTTTATATATATATATATATATATATATATATATATATATATATATATATATATATATATATATATATATATATATATATATATATATATATATATACATACATTATATATATATATATATATATATATATATATATATATATATATATATATATATATATATATATATATATATATATATATATATATAGAGAGAGAGAGAGAGAGAGAGAGAGAGAGAAAGATTTTAGTTTACTTAAATAAAAACTGCATTAAAATATAATACCTGCTTTAAAAAAAGCTCTGTATATATATAACTGCTTTAAAATAACTCTTTAATATAAAACATATCATTTCTTTACCATACAAATCAGAAAACTCATAAAAAAATCTATTAACTAATAATGTGGCTTCATAAATTACACTTTCAGATAATACCTTATTGTTCAACGTAAAAACAATATTAGATAAAAGAGTAAAATGGTCAAAAAACTGAGGAGGCAAAACATCACATAAAATAACAGGACCATAAAAAACTAAAAAAGTAAAAAACTCAATACCTTTCCAATGCTTTATACAACTTAATGATCATCGAGTCTGTCTTATATTGCTTGGCACACTGATTGCAGATAAAAGATTATTTACAACAGTACAGTGTCTTCTAATAGAAAAAATATAACCAGAATAATAACTATCAAATCAGAAAGAAAACATAGCTTTCATAACACCAAGCAGTGCAGATTATTAACAACTGTTCCATTTTCACAATTAAAATTAAGTACTCTTACAAATGTAGAAAAATCTAAAAACCCTTTAATCACATTAATCCAAAAAAAAACTGTATGGTTTCTACAACTCCCATTAACATCAGAAAATGGATAAGTCATACAAGACCTCCTACCTTTTTTTAACTTTTACCCCTTGAGAAGAACACCAATGGCAACCATTATAATCATTAAACTACCTACAACAAAAAACCATAGCTCATGCAATTGTATCACACAAAAAAAAAGATACATGAAAAAAAACACGAACATTATTAGATAAGAGTATACCAGTAGTGGATAGGTTAGTAAAAAATCAACAAAACAAGATAAAAATAATTGTACGCTTGGTTTTTTAAAACTGGACCAGAAACCAAAAAACAAAATATTAGTAATTTGCAATGAATATGGAAAATTATGAATGGATGCTAGCAAAGGCCACAAGGTCCACTTTGATAATTTAAAAACAGGAATTCCATCAGTATTAACAACAAGTCTAATTGTTGCTTGCACATTTTCTTCAAGACTTGCTAAATGTATCCAATTGTTATCACACATGTTTTTATGCTGGTTGTTTATGTTTAAAATATGAAAATAACTGCATTTCTTATAAAGATAGGACAATGTAAAATATTTCAAACATTTTGTACATTGCTTATTAGTACTTAAAGCAACTTCACAAATATATATATATATATATATATATATATATATATATATATATATATATATATATATATATATATATATATTTATATATATATATATATATATATATATATATATATATATATATATATATATATATATATATATATATATATATATATATATATATATATATATATATATATATATATATATTAGTAAAAACACTTATCTAATTTTTATTTTCTTCTACAGCTTGTTTCTCCATCAGTTGGATCATCAGAAAGATTCCTTCCTGATGATCCTACTGATGGAGAAACAAGCTGTAGAAGAAAATAAAAATTAGATAAGTGTTTTTACTAATTTATTATTGCTCTGTTCTTTAAGAACGTTGAGCACTCTATTTGTAGAATACACTAACATATCATATATATATATATATATATATATATATATATATATATATATATATATATATATATATATATATATATATATATATATACTGAGAGAGAGAGGGATATATATTATATATCCCTCTCTTTCAGCGAGAGAGAGAAACAGATTGTTATTTATTATTTTTAATATAAAATACTTAATCATAAAGACATTTATAAAAATTATTTTTATAAAATAATAAAGTTGAATTTAATAAATAAAATGCATTCGCATCAAGCGAATGCATAATAAACAATACTTAAGAGAAATAAACATTTTGAGCAACATACCAGATGATTTTGTTTTGTAACTTGAGTAGAACTAATAATATTTGAAACTCACACTATAGATCATCTATTAGATGCAAAAAATAAAATAAAAAGGATTACTTTTATACAAAAATTTGAAATATTATTTTAAGAAGCTATATTATCAATTTTCCAAGTTTTAACTGCTTGCAGAAGTTGTAACAGCAACGCTTTTTACATCACCGCGAAATATTTCGTAAGAAACCCAGTAAAATTCCAGCGAACTTTAAGATCACTGGAAGTTTTTCATTGGATTTCCAGCGAACTTCCAGCGAAGTCTTTTGTTTCCATGGAAATCCAGCGAAAACCCAGTGATCTTAGTAAATTTCCAGTGATCTTTTAATTTCCAGCGAACTTTCGCTGGAAGTTCGCTGGGTTTTTTTGTAAGGCAATTGCCTTGATGGAAACAAAATAGTAGCTTTGTAAAAACAAATGTATTTCTAATAAGAGTGCAATCAATTAAGTCAAATTATGGTTAAAAGTATAGTAGGGTTGTCTATTTGTATTAATCAAATCATAAATGTTTTAATAAATATTTATTCCTAAAGTATTCCAATTGAGGCAACTCTCCTCTACCTACATCCAGTGATATAGGGATAGGAGCAGTGAGTGTACACACCTCAACTGATTTAGGGATAGGCGAAGTGAAGCACACATATATCGATTAAGGGTATTGGTTTGGGCATGCATTCTTTAAAAAAAAGGAAAAAAAATCAATCCATCAGAAATCACTACAGTGACTTAAAAGTAAAATTAAACTTTTACTTTTTTCCTTTACAATTAATAAAAATATCTTATTAATAAGTGTATAAATCATATTTTATATGTTACATGTATATATAAAATAGATAAAGTATTTTAATATTTATGTTATAATAAAATTATTAGAATTAGTAAAAATTAAAAATAGTAATATATTAAGCATTTCAATTTTGAAATTTTTAGAAAATTATTACCTAACACTATGCAAACTACGCTTATACATAGGCAATAATGTCTTCTTTTCTTGCTCTTCGTACCATTTTTAATTTGTTTTATATTAGAGTTAAAATTTACTTATATTGGTTTGGCATTAAAGATCAATGCATCTTTAAAACTAAACCAAAAGAAGCATGGAACTTAATCATTGAAACTAAAGTTTACTTCACTAATCGGTCAGTTAAAATTAACAGTGAAAGAATCACTGTTAAAATCAAAGTTAAAGTAGATTAAATAAGTAAGTTAAAATTAATTCGCTAATCGGTAAACTATCAGTGAAATAATCTCTATTATCTTTTACTAGCATCTGTTTTACTTACTGAGGGAAAGTTTTAAATTAAATTTTTTGATATTCTGTAAGCAACAATAACCATGCTTGGTAACACCTTGAAATTAAATGACTTATTATGTAATGCGATGTTAAGGGATGTTTCCCTATTCAAACGACAATATTATGCAATTATTAAGGCCTTAGATTATTAATGTAATGCCTTAAGTTATTAATGCAGCTAACTGCAGGTAAATATGTAAATATATATGCAGGTAAAGTTTATTTATACATGATATAGTGCAAAGTTGTTGTTCATTTTGAAAAACAACATTGTAAACCTCAATAATAATTACATCAATAACAAATAATAAAAGAAAAAACTCCGAAGAATCTATAAGTTTACTAATCAATACAATATAAATGTTCACGTTCAACCTCTAATAATAACATTCCTACAACTACTAGTCATTCTACCTTTACTTTATGACAACCTTTTAAAAAATTTTAAAAATTTAGAATTGTTCTTTTTTTAATCAGAACGTGAATATTTGTTGCAGCAGTCACAAATCGTCGCGAAAAATGATATATCTATGAAAATCATTACATAATTGTAACCTTTTTTAAGAAAAAAAAGTGAAATAAACGTTAGAAGTTTATTTGAAAATGTATAACATAGTTTTTTCGGAGATATTTTAAATATATTATTAGTTGACAAAACATATATATATATATGTATATCTATAAATACGATACATGATTTCTAAAGATATATTGAAAAATTTCAATGAATAAATCTTTTATTAAAGACAATTCTACAGTCGTTCTTCAAAAAAGTATTTTTATATGATAAACTTTTTCTAGTCATATGGAAGTAAATTATTCTTGACTTTGGAAAAACTCTTGTTTTTTAATATTTATACTGATTTTTTATTACCTTCACCTGTTGGAGGAGATTAAGAGTTTATTAAGTTAGATTTTTTTTAATTTTAAAAAAAGGTAATATGTTCTTTTGAGTTGAATAATTTTCTTCTAGTGTTTCCATTTTTTTTAAAAGTTTGAAGTTTTTGGAAAATTCTGACCCTCCCGTTTATTAAGACCCTTCCCCCTCTCCCCTTCCTCCAAAATATTAAAGATAATTAGAATCTAGTAGTACCTATCTTATACATATATTAGAAATATATATTAATAAAACCAGAGATGAGTTAAAACGCTGACATTTTTGTTGCTGTTTTAAAAGTATAAAATATATGAGTTCTATTCGTAAATATTCTAGAATTGCATTTAAAATGCTTTGAAATATATATTACGCTGTACTACAGTGTAGGTTGTTAAACATTATTTTAAACCCAAAGATTTAAGAGTATTACAAGAAAAGCAAAAATATATTTATATTTGGCAAAGTCAACATTTTATTTTTATTTCAAGGATCAAAGATTCGGTGTTTAGATAATTGTAATAAAGATTTCTTCGGATAACCGACTTTTAGGTAGGATTTTCAAAAATAATATTTTTTCTATCTCCGATTACGGAGTCGTCTTGCACTTGCATAATTTGTACTGTATTAGTAGAGGATGCACCCGGATGCCATCCAGAAACAAAAATGATAAAAGATCCTGACTTTATAAATCCCATATCACGTCCTCTAGCAATTCCAAAATCTAAACGGTCATACATATCGTCATGCCATGTTCTGTTACGGTCTGGAAGATAAACTAATGGAAACAAACCACGGTATAAATGGCAAATACGAGCAATATGCTCATCTCTGGTGATCACAATAATTGGACAACGAGGACGATATTTGGATAATGTCCAGGCCGTGCTAAAAATTTAAAAATTATTTTTAAACGAGTAAAAAATTACGTGCCATTTTTTCAAATTGTTTAAAAATATATATAAAAATTACCGGCCAGACGTTGTGAGCACAATGATAGCGCATGCATTAGTCTTAAATGAAGCAGTAACTGCAGAAATACTAGTTGTTTCTGTGATGTCAGTAAAATCATCTTTACCAGCTCTTTCAAAAAACGAGTCCCTTAAGAATTGAACAGTAGCAGCTTGTCGACATATCTGCAATAAAATTTGATACCATTATAACATATAATTATATAAGTGTAAAGCATAAAATTTTAAATCTCAACGTAAAAATGAAAAAAGTAATTACTTTATGCATTATATCAACAGCTTCTACGGGATATAAACCATTAGCAGTTTCACCAGATAACATGACACAATCAGCGCCATCAACAACAGCGTTTCCGACATCAGTAATTTCAGCACGTGTTGGACGCGGATTCTTAACCATGGATTCTAACATCTAAAACAATGATTTTTGATTTAAAAAAAATAAAATATACATGAAATCAATAAACTGAACCTTGATAAAAATACTGACTTGAGTCGCACAAATGACCGGTTTTCCTGCTCTGTTGCAGCGAGTAATAAGGATTTTTTGCGCCAAAAATACTTTTTCGGCAGGCATTTCCATACCCATATCTCCTCGAGCTACCATGATACCGTCTGATGCTGCTATGATTTCGTCAACATTAACAACACCTTCGTGGTTTTCAATTTTAGAAATTACTTTGATATATTTGCCTTCTTCGCCGAGTGCTTTGCGTACATCTTCAACATCTGAGGCTTTACGAATAAATGAAGCAAACACCATATCAACCTGTAATATTTTCATTTTTTTTAAAAGAATAAAAAGTCTATGGTTTTATTTACTCATATAGCGCGAAAGCCAATTGCATTTCAAAATACATACTTTGTTTTTCACTCCAAATTGTAAGTCCTGTGCATCTTTTTCTGAAACGGAAGGCAAAGTAATTATAGCCCCAGGTAAGTTACAGTTTTTACGACTGCCTATTGTTGTATCATTTAAAACTTCTGCCAAAAGATTTTTGCTGTCAATGATTTCTTTTACTTCGAGTAAAAAGTTACCATCTGCAATAACAATATGACCCCCTGGTTTGACAGAAGTGATAAGATCTTTATAATCTAGATACTGTTGAGTCTCAGAGCATTCATGTTCAAAAGCTGGATCACAAGATACCTTTATAATGCTACCTTTTTTATAAAAAACATCGTTCCCCTAAAAACATTTCATAACAATAAAATAGTTTATTGATATAAGGTATATGAACTATAAAAATAAAATTAAACGTTAAGTTTAACATTTTAAACACTTTTAATTATTTTGAGTACATTTTTCATAAATCCAGTTCTAATTTCTGGTCCCTTAGTATCTAAAGCAATTGCAACAACATGTGGCAATGAAGATAAAGCAGCTTCTCTAACATTGTTGATTGTTTTTTGGTGGTACTAAAATACAAATTTAAATAACTTCATTACTATATACTTCATTAAATTGCTACACAAAAAAAAAAAAAAAAAAAAAAAAAAAAGAAAAAGAAATATAACAGAGATTATTAAAGTCGTTAAAACAGAAATTAATGTCGTTAAAACAGAGTAAAAAAAAAATGATACTTTTAATTAATACCTTTGCATATTTATTATAATTTGTTTACAATTTTTACCTTTTTAGACTATTTATTGGGGTTTAATATATATAAATAAAATCAGAATAATTTTATTTATATTTAATAATTTTTTACATTTACACAGAAACAAATTAAGAAAAAAAAAAATGCTTCTTCACTGAAGGTTTTTTAAGAAAAACTTCCAAACAACTTAATTTCTTTGAAACAACTATAGCAGAATTATATTTAGGTTATCAAGCTAAACCTTTTTTTTAAACTTAGATACATATTGTTGTTGACCCGATCAAAACTAATGCAAGTAATTTAGTATTAAGGTTTTTATAATATTATCTAAAATATAAAGAAACACAATATACATAATATAAATATAATAACGCAATATTGAAATAACACAATAACACAATATCACAGTCTTCTGCCCTTCCAATAGATATTTATATATAGTTTTGATTTAGTTAAGTTTTGTTACAAATTAAGCTTTGAGGGTGGTCTTCTAATACGATGTGGACGGCTATTTTTAACTAGTAAGTTTTGGGTAGTAGTGACATCAGGATATTGAGTTAATGATGGTGTAATATTGGTAATAGTAGTCGTTTTATTTGGAGAAGGTAAATTATTGGTGGCAGATAGAGGATGGTA